CAAAGATGTCAGCTTGAAAACTAAGGTGTACCTGACCCAAACCATAGTATATTCAATAACTCCATATGCATGTGAACATTGGACAGTGAATAAGCAAGATTGTCCCCCCAAAACTGAGAAAGAATGAACAAGGCCAACATCCTGATCTTGGAAGCCCAGTCTCCAGAACTGTGAAAGAATAAACTCTTGTTCTTATATAAAATAATTTTTCCTATAAAATTTTTAGTAATTTAAGGTGTTACTTTATAAAGAAAGGCCAGAATTGACTGAATTTACTCCTCAGATTGGTCATTTATATTGTTGGCAATTTAGTAATAAACACATATCGTTTGAAAGGTTTCTGTGCACTGTGTCATTATTGCTTTCGTATAATTTCCTTGAGATGGAATTTGGCTCCAGCCACAAGGTCCCACGAACTAACACTCCAATGACCTGCTCTCATGTTCACATTGGGAAGAAATGGAGGAAATCAACAGTCGATGGGAGAATAAAGAACGTGATTTTTCATTTCTTTTTGTCTACTAAATGAGTTTGAAACTTTTTGTCTTGGTGTCACTTTTCTTCTGTCTGACCCACATAGTTTCTTACTGAACTATAGAGCTCCCTGTGATTGTTATGTCCTGTTGAGTCGGTTCCCACCCACTGCCACCCTGTAGACGGTGTCTGAGGAGTGACTCCTAAGGTTGAACCACCAAGGAGTTTGAACCGCTGACCTTGTGATTCAAACCAAGTTTGCAGACCAGCGCATTGCCCCACAGCACCACACCAGGACTCCATACAGCTCACTAGAGAGACAGATTATAAACTCATTAACACTGCAGTAGAGAGCTGATCCCCAGGTTTTCCACACATCTTTCAGTTTTACAACATTTCTGAAGACACATGAGTTGCACATTTTTATGGCAAACTTTGCTTTGGAATCAGGCTTAGCGCAGGATGTCCAACTTCAACACTATGCAACCATATACAAAAAAAAGTATTGTGTATTTTGTATGAGCTACACAAGGGGAGAAGGAGCTCTGGTAGCGCAGGAGTTATGAGTCGGATTACTAACCTCAAGGTCAGCAGTTCAAAACCACGAGCTGTCCCACGGGAGAAAGATAAGGTTTTCTGCTCCTGTGAAGGTGTACAGCCTCGGAAACCCTGTGCAGGGTCACTATGAGTCAGAACCGACTCCATGGCACACCACCACCACCATCAGCAGCACCACACAAGGGTAGAGAGCCTGTTTCTATAGGATAAGACTGGACTGCAAACCACAAGGTCTGTGGTTTGAGCCCACCAGCCACTCGACAGGAGAAAAATACAGGTTTCTGCTCTCTTGACGATTTAAAGCCTTAGAAATCTTGTAAGGGGTCACTATGAGTCGGAACCAATGCGGCACTTAACAACAACAGGCCCTTGCCTGTTGCTTAAAAAGTGTTTAAACAACAGTCACCCCGGCTTTCTTCTAACTGTTCTTACTAGAAGTTACCATGATTTGTCACACTGAGTTTCTTCACTCAGATGAGTAAGGCCCATCTCTCCTTTTAGATCAAGGTTTCTCAGCGTGAGCATTTTAGGCAGCATAATTCGCCCTTGTGGGATGTCCCATGCCCTGCAAGATTAGAAGCAGCATCCTTGGTCTTGAACCCACAGAATGAGACACATTGTCACATGGATTCCAATATAATTAGCGTGATGAGCGTCGTCCAGGCCCTGCACCTGTGTGTTCTGTACACACGAGGCTGATCTAGGGTGGAGTGTACCCCACAGAAACTAACAACAAAGGAGCAGCAACCAACAGTGACAACCAGCAATGGCTCCAGACATTGCCCAAAGTCCCCTGGGCAAAATGACATAGTTAAGAAGGGCTTTATTCAAATCCCCTGTTGTATTCCTTGTTTCCTTCATATATGATCTTCTATGGGTCTTGACATCTTCTGGTGGTTGGTGGTTATGTACCATGGAGTCGGTTCCGACCCATAGCGACCCCGTACAGGGTTTCCGAGGCTGTAAATCTGTACGGGAGCAGAAAGCTTCATCTTTCTCCCGCGGAGAGGCTGGCAGTTTCCAACTGCTGACCTTGAGGTTTGCAACCTGATTCGTAACCCTACTACATTACCTTGACGTATTCTAAATAGTCAAAATAGTTACTATTGTGGATAAAACTCAAAATTCATTACATTGTTTAACAAGTTTTATGACTGTTTTTCTCATTTTTTTCCCCAGGTTTTTCAGGTAGACATATTACTTCCTTTGTTTCCTTTTCTCTTCATATTCCACTGGTAAGAATTTCCAGAACATTAATAATGATGACAGAAATTCTCATTTTCTTCCTCATGAGCCCCTTGAGGTTGGTTTCTGGAATATGGAACCCCTTCTACACATTGTTATGTGCT